AGTATTGATCTAAAATATACATTTTCATTAATGTTTCCGAAGCGCCTTCTGAACATAGCAAAAACGCCAAAAATGGTACGACATAGAAATATGACGTTTTCTATTATTTTTCAAGAGAATTAATATATTAGCAAGAAAAAAAAACTATAAAATATAATAATTTGATTTTTTAATTTTGTTTCTTTAAACAAAGTTCATCTCATACTACCTTAATCTACTAACAAACTAATGACTATCATCAGTCTACTGATGATATCACTACCCATTTATCGTTTTATCGGGATGTTGTGAAATAATATCATTTTATCGGGTTCTCCAGAATTTAGCTGAACCACCCTAATCAGCACATTGAATTAGACACAATAAGGAAAATTTCAATAATTGTTACAAAAATTTCATTTTCAAAGAAAATATGTTTGAAATGTTTTCACAAAATGTTTTATTTTCAATATCATATCTCAGAAGTTCATAAAAGAATATAAAAGTTAGGTGGTATAAAAATATAACTTCGAAACATAAAAGAAGCCTTTTATGTTATGGAAGTAAAATCTTATAAGTTAGCAATAACGAGTCACGGTGGATCAGGAGGCAGAGCACTCATCTCCCAATAAGGTGACCAAGATAAGAGTTTGTCTGATCGATAAGAATTCTGCTCCCGGCTCGCACCGACCACATTGCTGACACAAAATATCCTCAGTGGTAGATGCATCACGGGTTAGAATTCCCATATCAGCTGCTTAACCATAGGAGGATTTCGTTGTTTTTCTATCAATGTAACGTAAATGTAGATTATTTACATCTATAAGTCCTCCACGGAGGTGAGTTTGTCACAATGCCGGATCTAGGAGTTCTTTATCGTTTGGGTTGAATTCAAAATTACTAGTCTACGGAGTTGAACATTGATAATCGTTAATCCAAAAAATGAGTGAGGCATTCAAGGCCGATTAGAGATTAAAATACGAAACTATATATTCTAAAAGAGTAAATTCAACTTACTTTCATAAGAACAAAAGCAATGTGTTAACTCAATTAAAACTAGCATTTCCAGTATATATGATTGCACTTTAAACTTCCATAACTTTGTTAATAATCATCATAATCTTACTTTTTTTTTATTTGTTTGAAAGCCTTTTAGATTTTTATTACTATCCTTAAGTTTTATTTTGTATTTATCATCGACAGTAGTTTTATCATCCATTTTCATATCTCTTTGCATTCATTTTTAAAGAAAATTATCTCGTTTAATTTTTGTTAGACTTGTGTTAAGTGAAAGCTTCAGCATTTAGTTCGATTTTGCCTCCAAATCAGTCGATTCACAATAAAGCATTTTCAAAGTTTATGAACGCTTTCCAGAATTTTTCAGTTTTTATCTGCAAATCTGCAACGTCCCAAATTATTCCAGAAACTTACAAATTTGAAAGAAAAAAAATTATATCCAACTATAAATCAAAATATCCCTAATATCTTTACTTCTAAGGAAAAAACAAGTATCATTTCGAAATGTGACTTATAGAAAAATGTAAAGTATAAATAAAGATAACATAAATTAGGTTATCATTTAATAAAAATCTCTTCGAGAAAGTTAGATAAAAAAAGCTCCTTTTACCAAAAAGACATTTTCTTTCCTCCTAACCAAAAAGATACCGTTCTATATTAATGCTATAAACATAAAAGAAATAATCTCGTCTAGAGAAAAAAAACGTCGAAGAACATAAATAACTATTAGATGAAAATTAAATCAAATTTTGTTGTGATCTAAATCTGTGCAATAACCTGCTAACGAAGAGCGGTTTGGAAGTTTCATTCATTATTCATAATAGTACCTTCATTATTGGGAAAGATACAGAAAATTACCAGACTTCCAGCAAAGTGAATGTAAGTTTTCTTTTCAGCATTAAGCATTTATAAGTTAAAGTAATCAACAAACTCTTCTATATAATCTATTAACGAGTAAAGTTTATAAGAGTTGAAAGAGAAAAAAAGTGCTTTAAAAGATTATTCGCTCAGTGAAATGCATTTCGCCTCCATAAATCATTTTTAAATGTGGACAGAAGGAAATCAAGATTTGAAAATACTTTTAGGGAAATCCTTTTTTTTTTTTTACGCAATTTTCTAAAAATACTTTTAATGGAGCTCTTAAAATCGTGAAAAGGAAGGAACACTTTGGAGAATGCGATCTTTACAAAATATTTGGCTGGTCTGTAAGTACAAACAATGAGATATAATAAAAGGTTTAACAGATGAGTTCTTCTCTCTCTTTTTCCCGATTAATAATCTTTTAGTATGAAATTTTTGACTAAAACTCTTAACATTGATATGGATATCAAATTCTTAGAAACTTTATTAGTTCGTGGCTTTAAAGTAACGTTATTCATCAATTACTCGTTAAATAGATTACTTGACTGAAATAGATCTAGAATAGTATTGCTTTCAGTTAATAATAGCTTGAAGTTTGCAAACCAGTTGTAGAGATTTGATTTCTAGTAATCTACATAGTTTGGCAAACAATTTCAACTGACAATACACACACTGATAGATTGTATGAATAAAAGTTTTTTTTTAATTATTATTTTTGAGAAGATAATAACTAATTTAAACTGATATTAAACATAGAGTTTATCAGGGTGCGTAGCCAAATTATTCAACAAAAAATAAGCACCTTTTAAGCACTTTCCAAGCACTAAAAAATATTTTTAAGCACTTTATAAAAACATCATAATTAGGCAGGGTTGGAAAGTTTTTGACAATTGACGGTTTATCTTGTTTTAACCGTCACGTAAAAAAATCCTTTTGGCACTGTTTTTGACAATTGTCAAAAATCATGAAATTTTGAATCATGTAAAACGAATGGCGAGTTTTTATACGCTACGGGCTGACAATACGCCGAAATAAATTGGGGTTGAATTAATTATGAAAACGTTGAACAGAACAACCTGAACTGTATCTTTTTGCATAATTCGAAGCGAAAATCAACATAGTAAAGGAAAAAAGCACTTTTAAGGGCTTTTAAAAAACGAAAATAAAAAATAAGCACCTTTAAGCACTTTTTAAAAAAGCTACCCACCCTGTTTACATAGAATGCCCCCTATCCAATTTCACAATACACGCTTTTTAAAAAACACGGCTACCAATTTCAACTCATAAACAACAATGTACTTTTTTATTTCAAAAGTTGATAATCAATTTCAACTGATAATACACACATTGTTTGAAAAAAAACCTTCATTTCCAGTTCCCAATACCCATACGGTTTCAACTGATAACATATATATATTGTTTGTAGAGACATTTTGTGGTCGCTTCAAGTTAACAATGCAATTTTTAATTTCAGAAGTTCACAATTAATTTTAACTTTTAATACATATATTGTTTATAGAAACCACTTCCAATTTCAATACACAATACAGGCTTTATTTAAAACACGACTACCAGTTTGAATCTTAATCAGAGAATCCATATATTGCTTGCAGAGACATTTGTGCCTTTTCAAGTTACCAATGGAGTTTTTTTTTATTTCAGAATATAAAAATTTCAGTTAATAATACTCCTATTGCTTGTAGAAAACACCACCAATCCCATTTCACAATACACGTTTTCTTTAAAAACACGGCCGGCTATTAGCTTCAACTTATAGTTTACAAATACATATTGTCTGCAGATATATTCGTGGTGGTCGTTTCAAGTTAACAATGCATTTTTTTTACTTTAAAAATTGACAATCAATTTCAAGTGATAATACACATATTGTTTTTAAAAAAAACGCATCCATTTTCAGTTTTCAATAAACATTTTATCTAAAAATACGGCAACCAGTTTAAGCTTATGACACGCATATATTGTAGAGACATTTGTGGCCGTTCCAAGTCAACAATGCAATTTTTCTTTATTTGAAAAGAGAGTTACTAATTTCAACTGATAATACACATACTGTCTGTAGAGAACATCTCCAATTCCAGTTCCGAACACACGTTTTGCTTGAGAGTACGGCTTATGATTTCAATTGATAGCGCATGTACAACTTGTCGAGACACTAGGTTTTTTTTTCTCCAGTTTACAACGAACGTCAAGAAATCATCTACCATTTTCATCTTATAATGCACATACTATTTGACGATACAACTTCCAATTAAAGTTGACAATACACGCAATATTGAGAAAATGTACATTCAATTTCGACAGACATTGCACATATTATTTTTAGGGACGTTTACTGACTTCAGTTCATCTTTCACATTTTGTTTATAGATCGGCTACAATTCAAATTACAAATTTTTTTTTGGAGACAATAAAAATTCGACAAGTTACAGGTAGGTACGTACTTCATATACGTCACACTAGCGCTGCACAATGGGCTGTTGGCGATGGTCTGGGAAACATCCCTGAGGATGATCGCAGAACTTTATCAAACTACCAGAATTTTATAGTACCAACTAGGCCCACCTAATGAAGCAACTTAGTTCTTTGCAGCTGGATACATATTATAGCCGAGAGGGCTAACCTGCCAATATCATGATACGAGGGTTCGAATCCCAGCGTTGACACCTCAGTATTCGATTCAGCAGATGAAGAGTTTCCCGTATCTTGCACTCCTGAAATTGTGATCCTGGATTATTAAAATACGATACTCTCATTCACATATAGAAGGAAGCGCCATAAAGCTGTTTAATAAAAAAAATCTGCTACGTTTTTTTATACGATTTCGAAACCATGCTATTTGTAAATGGTTAAAAAACATATAGTTTTGTGTTTTACTATTTGTAAACGGTTTCAAAACCGTAAAGGTAAAAAATGTTCTTTACCGTAAATTGCTCGGTTATTTGGATGGACAGACTGTTGCCGGTTATTTTACCGTTGTTTTAGAATGAAAATTCTAACAGGGTATAAGGTCGACTGATTAAGTAACACCTGACATTTTTGAAAGTAAATACCACGTCAATATAGATAATACAATTACAAGACATTCCTACTTAAGGAGGTATGTAAATTAAATTTTTGCTTACCAAGTTCTTAAATATTCTCCATTTTGAAGTATTCCAATTTTTACAGCTCAAAATTTTTCAAAAGAATCATCTGAAAAAAAAATTTGTTAAATCAATATAAACAAACAAAAGAAAATGCTGAAATAAACATATTTAAATCCCATTAAATCGTTACTTTCTAATCATATAAAATAAACATTTCTCTTTCATTGATCGTGTAAATTACATGTAAAAAAAGAAAACGTTGTGCGGATCATAAGAAAACGACATCATACCTTTAAATGTTAAACAACTCAACAAACAACAGCACAGGTGCTGAATATTGATTTTTCTCTATTATTTGCATTGCCTCTTTAATTATTAATTTAAACGCTCTGAAGAAGCGTGATTTAGTACATTGTATTTCTATTTTGGGTCTGAGTTTGAACATTTAGAATTTATTTTTTTAGTTCAGCTAAAGAATTTAATTTTGTAAAGACATTGGTTAAACTTAGTAAGAAAATATAATATTTTGGTGATTCGAAACATACATCATTGTCAAATAGTTTTAGAAAAATTTTCTTGAAAATACAGAACATGAAATTTGTAGAAATAAAAAGAAGTTGGTTGGTAGCTCATAGATATAAGGAACTATTTAATTTATAAAAGCATGCAGCCATGTTCTCTCAACACTTTACCCATTGTGTTGTTGTTACCCAGTTCAGGTGGCAATGAGGCAAACCCAGGCGATCAACGAATTCCTGGAAAGTCAGTTTTAAAGCATTTTAATTCCATTGCTTTTCCATTAACAAGTTAACCAAATTTAGAACGAAAAGGTAATACCTGGTGTCTAGATCAAGTGCGCATGGAGGAGGATGTAGAAATTTCAATTCAGGTAGTTTAGCTATAGCCATCTGTGCAATATGTGGTTTTGCAAGACCATTCAATAAGATAGGATACCAATCTAGTCTAGTTTTCTTCTGCACTGTAAAATATTCCAGATCAAATTACAGTATAGAGTACCGACACTCTGAGTGCATCTTCCACAAAATCCATTTCACCATAAAATCCATTATTACCGTAAAATTTTACATCATGATTATAACTGTAATATTTGCTTTATTAGAGTGATTCAGTGATTTTACTATCATTATTAATGTAAAAATTACGGTATATCAGATTTTTTGTTTTGTAAGATGTTCCAGTAAAAACGGATTCAACGGTAAAAAGTACCGGCACTCAGAGTGCCGGTACTTTTTACCGTAATTTGATCTGGAATTTTTTACAATGTAAGCTGCAAGCTAGATTATTGACCAATCTAGACTAAATGTGCATCATTTTATCTTATTAGTTGCAGTACATTTTTTATTGTGATCAATGAACCTGGCTTCCTAAAATAAACAATTGATAACACATGCGCTAGAGAGTCAAAAGCTCACCATGAAATTGTATTGGTGAATATTGTTTAAGTGCTTTTTTTTCTTCTTTTTTTTGGTGTTCGATCCTACTTCAATCAACACTAGAGCAAAAAACACTATTAATGTTTCGTGTAGTCTGCAATGCCATAGTTCGACGCAAAAACTTATAATTCATAGTGCGAATTACAGACTGTCCCCTTCTGAATAAAATAAATTCTTCTTTTGTAAAAATATTTTTTTGAGGTTACGACGACTTCTTTTAAATCAGTTTAGATGGGTCGGGATAACCTGGTTGGTAGGGCAGTGAGCCTATGTCCAAGAGTTCGTGGGTTTGATCCCCGCCAGGCAAACACTCCCCGTGTAATAAATGGTAACTGATGCACGTTAAATCTGTCGAGTAGCAAAGTCCTCCATGTTCCAATAATAAATCAAAACCTCTGGGGGTACTGATAGAGGAGTTTCCTTGTCTTCTGGATTGATTGAAAAATTACAAGGCTACGGAATTGAGCATTAGTAGACCCAAAATTGGGTCGGCTGTTCAACAACGGTTATGAAATAAAATAAAATCAGATTAGATATGCAACATTTTAACAATCAACAATTCATTAATCAACATTAGGCTTTTCAAAAATTAGAGAGCTCTAAAAGTTTCCCCATCCAATCTACAAATTTCATCTTATAATTAAAATTTTGCAATAATTCACTGCAGAAACTTATTACTTTAAGAAAGTAATCTTAGATGCACCTGCAGTTGCATGATTTAAAATAAAAATACCTTAAATTACTGTTTTTTACTTCGGAATGAATCAATAAATTTGTAAGATTGTGTCATTCAAATGAAATTAAAACTTTGATGAAGCTGTTAGTCATAAAATTCGAACAATTATTATCGTTAATATACCAGAAATTCAAGAATGAAATACTTGATTGAGTGAAATGCGTCAAAAAGTAGATAATTCCGGAAATATTATAGTAGGGACAAATGAAAATTTTTTCTTATTTCAGCTACCACTTAAGTACTAAGAAATAACGTTATTTTCATAAGAAATAACATTATTTAATCAGAAATAACGTTTCTTGCATATAAGGTCGTTAATATCAGCCACAAACCCAATATCAGATTAAAGCCGAGTAATTTTGCTTACATTTATTATATTTATAAAAACTTATACTTTTTTAAAGTTTCTTTGCTTAGTTATAAGTAAACTGTTTTTACCCAAACAAGTATAATGATATTTTCTATAATTTGAATAGTTATAAAAGTAGAATGTTAGACAACAAAAGAACTGTTAATTAATTTTATTTTTTTTTATTATTTTATCAATCGTTGCAATCCAGCTTCTTAATCGCTGTAAATATCGCCTTAAATGAGAAATTGTATAGATCAAAGAAAGCACTCCGCTCAAATCTTACGGAAATTAATTCTCAGTCATATTGGCTGAATATTTAATAAGTTGTAAATCAAAACATATCGGACAAAAGTTCTCATGGACACTTTGGATAGTCCAAAATTGGATAGTTTCCGAGATACGGAACCCACAAACATAACAGATATAGGCAATTGTCACTGTGGCAACAGCATTGGCTTGGGTGAAGGCGAAGAAGAAATGCTAGCTAGTGTTGGACGATCTGCAAGCGTTTTCATTACTCAATCTAATTTTCAATGCTTATTTAAAAGTTAATTATCAGGGGTCTGTCCAGACATTTTGTGAAAGGTCCGTTTTTCGTGAAATTGTGAAAAAATTACTCACATTCTTTCAACCAGGGTCCGCTTTTATGAATTTGTGCAAATAGGGTCCGTTATTGCAAAAAAAAACTTTTTCAAGGAGTTTTTAAATTGTAAATAGATACAAGATTATGCTCAACACTGTAAAGTTATAATTAAAAAAAATTAAATTTTAAAAAATAAACAACAATTGCTGGTTAATTATTATAATAAATAAATTAGAGATGCAACATACAAATATTTGGTATTTAGCCTATACTGCTGAACGCAGAATATTCATTTCGAACGAATAATAGAAGAATCGTCTGCCGAAGACAAAACTTAATTCGTTTACATCCATCTTTCTTGTTTTCTGCCCTGGAGAGGGTTTATTCGATTAACAAAATAATAATGAAGATAAACAAATTTGTGAAGGGTCCGATTAAAAGAAAAATCATTTTGTGAAGGGTCCGTTTTTAAGTTAAAATATTTTGTGAAGGGTCCGTTTTTATGAAAAGATATTTTGTGAAGGGTCCGTTTTTATGAAAAGATATTTTGTGAAGGGTCCGTTAACGGACCCAAATTTCTTCTAAACAGACCCCTGATTATTAACTATTCTTTTTTTTAAATTATCTTGGTTAATGCTAATTATCATACCTGAATTAGAGAACGGAGAATTGCTATGTACTGTTTGAGGCTCCGTATTTCGGAAACTATAAAATTTTGGACTTGGCATTTTTTGATTTGCATATTAATTTTTTTGCCAATTTGACAGAGAATTAATTTCTTTAAGATTTCTGCCGGTTCTTTTCAAGAATTATTATAACATCCCGATTACGGCTGCAAAGATTCGAAATCGGATTGCGTGAGGGACAACAAAAACTTTTTGTCCAAAACTGCTCTTACTCCTAATTGAAAAGTAACTGATCTGTTGACAATGAGGCTACCTAGCCGGAAAGGCACTTTTCTTTATCCCCAAAAGATCGTAGACTGATTCGGTAACTAATATGATGATAATCTGCACTTTTATGAGATTTTCGCCTCGAAAATATCCTTTGAGATAGTATTTTTATTAATATTTTTAATACAGAAAATTAGGTCCTTGACTTAAACAAATTCAATTTTTTACAATAAAAAACTAGATATATAATACTACAGGAGCGAAAAATTTACTATAGAGAGCTAGTCGAAATAAAAGTTATTTAAAATGATATTAGCTTGCAACACTTAAAAAAACCAGTACGATAACCTTTATACCATGCAACTCAGTATATGGAAAATATTTCAAAATACCCATTACGCGGATGGTATAGTTTTTTAAAAAACGAAATCTAAAACCCACAATTTTTACGGCTCTTGATCTTTCAACCGTTGTTGTTGTCGTGGACTACTAAGGCGAAGGGTGAGACTGCTTTTGCTTTCCAGTGGCTCCATCTATGGCCAAGAATTCGACTTTTGCCAAACCCATAAGTCACACCTGTTTATAGGGCGGACCCATTCATACATCCATTCCTTCATCAATAGATCGTAATTTTGACCTAAACCAGAGAACGATCAATATTCAATTCAGTTTCACCAGAGGTATAATTTGTTATGGGAACATGGAGGACTTCGTGACCAGATAGATTTAACGTGCACCATTACTACAGTCTTCGGCCGGCTGGATTCGAATTCCCGTTTTCGCGAACGTGAGTCTAGCACCCTGCCAACCAGGCTATCCCGGTTTTCGAATTAGTCTAGATCGAATTAGTTCCAAATCTTCACACTCTTCTAATACTGAGTTTTGGTGAAAATGAAGCACTTTTTTGAGTAAATTTTTTGTAATTTTGTACCTTTTTTTGAAGCATTGAATTGTTTCATAAAGCCTGCCATTATTTTAGTAACGATTTAAAATGGATTAAGGAAAATTGTCGACAAAAAGTTTGTTCTTTTTAAATGGAAGAAAGTTCTTTTTGTAAATCTACAGTAATTTTGCCCTTTATTTGAATTACAAA